CGTTGACTTTTAAGAGTCTGGACTCAAGAACCAATCTGTTTTTTTTTTCCAGCGTGGGAGAAAATGATGGGCCAATAAGGTCGCACGTGGGTTGCATGCCGTTAGTTAGTCTATCACCGACCTCCTCTGTCCATTATAACCACCCGCGTCCACCAATAGGATCGATCCAATTTCCCATTGTCTCTATTGTCTGAAGCTTTGTCTATCAATTTCAATTATCAGCCCGCTGAGGTCCCTTTTCTCGAGGACGTTAGCATATTGAGACACTTTCTTCGAAATATAATCCTAACCTCGCGTCTAACCTCTAATCTCTAACCTGCGCGATGACTGGATAGATCGTTCTTTTATCCTCCAAGAATAAAAAGAAGAGTTGCTCAACTTTACTGGATCGCTCTATTTTCCCATTGTCTTTTTCGTCTATCGATCCATCTATCAATTTCGTCAATCAGCTACCTGGTCATCAGAATGGAAATGTTGCATGTATGAGGAATTTGCGATTTGACTGTTGATTATTATGTAAAAGTTCGCGAGAAACACGATGATGCCACTGGTTTTCTCTGAAATCAACTCCCAAGCTAAAAAAAAAGCTCTCAAGTTGAGGCCAAAGTGGAGGGGATATCCCACACGCTATCCTGAGAGTCCACCTTTACATCCAGACAAACTCTCCATGCAAAGATAAGAAGCAAATACATTGACAAGGCTGCCAATTTATTTGGAGACTCTAAAACTGAAAACACGTCATCACTGCTAATGTATTTGCTCCCTATCTTTGCATGGGGAGTTTGTCTTGATATAGAGGTGGACTCTTAGGATAGCGAGGGATATCCCCTCCATTTTGGCCTCAACTTGAGAGCTTTTTTTGAGCTTGGAAGATGATTTTAGAGAAAACCAGTAGCACCGCCGTGTTTCTCGTGAACTTTTACATAAGAATCAACAGTCAAATCGCAAATCCCTCACACATGCAACATCTCCATTATCAGTCTATTAAAGCGATGCATCCCAAAAACTCACATCGAGTCGGAGAGGGCAGGTGAGCCACGACACAGCTCCGTTCGAGCGACGGGATTTCGTCACTTTCAACGGATTCGATCGCATCCTGTATTCACGAAACGCTCCCTCATCAAGGTTTTTGACCGCTCTCGCACAGCAAGCGCAGTCCGCGACTCTGACGCAATTTTTATTATGCCCGCGCGCGCGCCCCGCGATTCACTGTCAAGTTCAATTCACCGTTCATCACGATTTTTTTTCATGTAATCTTTTCTTTTCTCCCTCTGCAACGTGCCTCTCCCTCATTTTATCCGTAATCTTTGAGGCCATGATCAATTTCACCTACCCATACCCTCCAGCGCAGAAAGAGGTTAGGAACTGGTGGTAAAGAACAAAATACACGGCATCTAGAGTCCCTTTATACTGAGAGTCAAGACAAAACCCCCTCATGGAGTCACAAACGGGAATAAAGATTACAGAAATTGAACGTTTTTTGCAATCTTTGATCGGCCCATTCTCAAATTACTTTCTTCGTTTCTTCTCTCATTCCGTTTGCTCCTTGCCGAACCTGTAATTCTCTGGTCCATTCTAGATTAAAATCTTTGCAATCTGTGAAAATGTAATCTTTATTTCCGTTTGTGACACTGTGAAGGCCTAAAATACGGGAACCAATCAGAAATGGATTCACATTGTCTTGACTGTCAGTATAAAGGGACTCTCACGTACCTCTCCCTCATTTTATCCGTAATCTTTGAGGCCATGATCAATACTACCCATACCCATACCCTCCAGTGCAGAAAGGGGTTAGGAACTGGTGGTGAAGAACAAAATACACAGCATCTTTTGGGGACTACTGAAACGAGTGAGTGTTTGAAATGAAAATTACGTGCAAAAATGTCACCGTTTCAAAAGTTCCGTAAACCTATCTCTGTGTGAGCCAGGGTTTCCATTTGTAAGAAATGAACGTAAAAATTATGCAAGAACAAACGTAAATGTGGTTTAATAATTTTAACTTCTGCCGCGCCGCCGCGCTGACCGCACTGCATTTGGCGCAATGCGGGAAGTATTCCTACAGTCTTGTAGGCGCTATGCGTTTCACGCCGAACGCCCCGCCGCTGAACGCACTGTGTTTGACGCAATGCGTGAAGTATCCATGCAGTCTTGTAGGTGCTAATATGTGTTACATGCCAACCGCCGCACGGTGAATTGAGTCAATTACAGAGGTCGGACCTGAAATATTGGACAAAAACTGCAAATGTTGATGTTTACTTCGTCACATTTTAAAGTTCAAGGGGTGATACTGGAAGAAAATTTCACGAGAAAACCAATGGAGCCACTTGCAGAACATCACATGCTTGTATAAATGGAGTTATAAGCGTTTAAAGTTTCTAAATTTTGTCCGACCTCTCTCATTGACTCGACTCACCGTGCGCCGCGCTGAGGGCTTCTTTTCATCTCAAGTCCTCATTATCATTGCTCTCTGCGCCGCGCCGCTCCATACGAAATTACGTGTTTGGTTTCTCTCTTAACTCGACTAATTAGAGTTGATGTCTCTTGTATCACCGATAGACGCCTCTCTCGTTTGTAATTTTTTTTCTGAATCCGATTTATTTTACACCTACATTTGAAAAAATGCAAAATTTGCCAATATGGGCCGCGGCCCATGTGGCCATCCCCTTAATCCGGCCCTGGTTTAGTTGTACTAGTTTGCGCATTTAGCAAAAGTTTGCAACGGACCCATTCGTCACTAATGCATGTATCTGTGTGAGAATGAAATTCAGCAATATGTAACTAACCATTTCGATGTTTCCGGAAGCAGGTAACGTCTATCCTGATCATATATCTACTATTTTAAGCGACAGGGCTTAAGCATGGGCTGTCACAATCGTTACAGCTATTGAAGTCTCGCACGTGCCACCTTCGTTGAGTTGTTACGACCCCTCGGTTACGTTGCTGTCTACGAGGCTGTGATAATCAGTGGCGTGGCGTGTTTTGCAATACATCGATTGATCTGTCATTTAAACCTATGATAAGGGATCGATAGACAGGGTGTTCGCAACGAACACCTTAATAATCGATTCTATACCGTGGTTTCAAATGGAGAAATATCGATAATCGATCGCTTACGTTCTCATCACTGGTGATGATCGTAAATGTCTGTTTAGCAGAGGTTGTTCCTTTATTTTCAAGCGTTCCGCGCTGTCAAATGAGAATCTGTCTCATAATAACAGAGCTGCCAACGTGCTGGTAATAAAATAGGTATGAATAATCATTGAGTATGGAAGATATTTGCTTTGCCGTTTTTGCGAGACCTGGCTGTAGTGTCTGCCGAAGTGGACGTATTTCTACCAAACGGAACTATGTGCATCATGAAAAGAGCTCCGTAATGCATATATTCTAATGGATCTCAGGGATCATGTCTTGATGCACACAGTTCCGTTTGGCAGAGATACGTTCAAGTGAAAGGAAGACTTACTTCGAGGTGTTGAATCGTAGCAAATCGATTGGAAGTTAATCGTCAGGTGGAGGAAACGCGTGAAGCTGTGACAGAAACTTCATCGAGCGCTAGCGAGCAATCTCTCGCTTTGATCCTAGTTCAATATGTGTAAACTTTGTCCTCTACTTTTGCAATTGCTAGAAGAGATCATACATTTCAGAGACCCCGATTTGGTATTATTCCTATTTTGTAAACGTTATTTTTGTATTTAACGCTCAGCTGTGTCTAATGGTCACTCATGAGCGAGGAGTTGAGCAATTGGTTCAGCAATTCTAAACAATTTTTAAAAAAATTCATCTGGGAAAGTGGTCACCCCGACATGCATCCGGCCGTTTTTATTTGGTGTTTTGCTCAACAAATTACTCATCAATTATCATCGAGCGAAGAGTGGCAATGAGTTCCAAGTACATATAACTTTTACCTCCGCCTGATTACATTGCTTAGATTTTTAGCACAAGGCCCCTAAAATATATCGACGGTGGAACCACCAAGCCACGTATCTCAGTGTGTGACGTTGGAGACCTCCTGACATAATTAATTTTTTAAATAGAAAACTAATCAACCTCAATTCTTGAAAACTTCTGTGTTTTTTCTTTGCCGTGCGAAGAAAACTCTGCGTAAATTTCAAGAAATGGTATTGACCGTTCTCCTCCCAAAAAATAAAATGGGAGCGGAGATTTTTAAACACCGCAAAGTAGATACGTGGTCTGGAGGTTTCATCGTCGATATTGTCTCTGATTTCTCGTCGACAAATAGAGATGAACTCTGGAAATTTCAGAGTTCATACTGGATTTCCCAGAAAGCCCTCGATAAAATTGGTGTCGACGATGAGGCGTGCTCATGATGAGAATAGTACTCGGCTCAAGCTGTGTAAAAGTAACGCATTTTCTGTACATAGGTTACTTTTTGTGGTATTAATTTTCGCGTGATACCCATGCAGGAAGTAAAACTCTTTTCCGGGCTCTGTTACTAGACAGTTAATGTCTATGGATACAACAATTTTTAAGACAATTTTTAGGTTTAACATGCTTTTTTTAAAAAAATGATTGATCTCAATATCTATTTAAATAAATAATATACATGCATTATGCCGCTTTTATAGCGCAACCTCGCGCCCTGCGACGCCCAATCGCTATTGCCCGCTATCCTCCCAGAGATCATCAGGCAATTGGCACCTTCTGATCTCCACCTCCACCCCTTGTCGCCAACCTTTCACAGGACGTCCACGCCGTCGCCTTCCGGGAGGAACCCAATCGAAGACCTGCTTGGGCAACCGATCGTCAGCCATCCTTCGCACATGCCCATACCAGACCAACTGCTTGGACCTGATATCGTGCACGATGTCATTCTCGACATCCATCATATCGCGCACTTTTACATAAATAATATACTTTAAGATATTTAATATTAAAAAATACTTTACACATTAAGATTTTTATGATATTTTAACATGCCGCACGGTTTCGTCTGAATCACTGTCTCTGATCACCACCAATCTTGTTTCCTTCTGTTCCAGAGGCTGAAAATGGTTAGAGGTCTACCAGCCTTCGATTGGTGGTACACACCACCGGATGAGGTTCTACTTCGAGTATACATTTTCAACATAACCAACTCCGAGGAGTTCCTAAACGGTAGTCATACCAAACTTCACTTTCAAGAGATAGGTCCTTTAGTATTTAGGTGAGTACCACACTCTTATCTTTGTGCCAACCTCTTCTAAATTTACATTCAAGGCCGTATTTATAGCTCTTTCTCAAACAGCCTTTTCTGCGGGCCGATTATTGAAACTGATAGACAAAGGTATAGACAAAGAAGACATAGGAAGTATAGGGCGATCCTATTGGTTGACATGGTTGGTTCATATAGACTAAGGAAGAAAATGATGGACTAACTTTCGGGTCTTTGGTGGGTTGCCGTCAGTTAGTCCATCACCTACCCTCCTATGTCCATGCCACCACCCACTTCCACCAATAGGTCTTCTTTGTCTACAGCTTTGTCTATCAGTTTCAATAATCGGTCTGCAAGGGAGGCTCTGTACGGTTTAAATTTAGTGGCGAGGTGTGAATGATCGATTTTCGATATTTTCCCATTTAAAGCTATGGTAAAAAATCGATTATTGAGGTGTTCGTTGCGGACACCCTGTTTATCGATCCTTTTCGATAGGTTTAAATGGCAGACCAACCAATTTATCGCAAAGCTAGCCACGCCACTGTTTACATTGTAATATTAATGAAGGCTTAAGGTAATATTAAGGGATTTTTTACTTAATATTTTAGAAGCACAATTTCAACGAATCACGAATGAACTTCATTGAAATAACTTAAAAAATAAGAAAAATTCAAACATTTTGGTCCAATTTAAGATTTTTAAAACCTACACGTGTTTTTTCCTTGTATGTTACATTCTTCGTAGAGGCGAACCATTCATTGTAATCTCTTGAAAAGGTATATTTTCGAAGTTATCCTATTTACTTCAACTCGAAATTCATTAAACATTTGCCTTATTATGATCGTGAAGGGTCGTTTATTAATGTGCAAACTTCGGGTTTCATGCCAATGCAATCGATTTTAGTTGTTCAATTTTTTTTAATTTTTTCCTATTCGTTTCATTATCAGGGAAAAATTGAGACACAGTAATGTCGTTTTCAATGACAATGGCACCATGACCTACGTCGCTCATCGCACAGCCCATTTTCTACCCGAAATGACGAATATCAACCTTTCAGCGGAAGTCATCCAACCGAACCTCGCAGTCCTGGTAATTGCTACACTTTCATAAAAACAGGAAAAAGATATCCCAAAAAGATTGAAGCACGCTCATTTTTTTTTGTAGAAACACATTCTCATCGAATACGATACAAATATGTGATGCAAAATGCCATGTCATTGCATTATTTTTTCGGTACATTTTCAGTATCAGCTCCTTCAAATTTAAAATCTAGCAAGAAACAGAGGCAGCAAATTAATAATAATCTAGTCCTAAGTGTCTACGCGTGGCAACTTTTTTTTCGTGAACGCATGTTAAAAGAAGGCGTATCATTCTCTTTTGCTGATTTCGAGCTTTGAATCATGGTCTGGAACTTTAGTCTTTATTTTGGTGATTTGGAGTGTATAATTCTTCTACGACAAAATGATCGCTTATCCAAGGGTGGCAATGCAGTTAAGTGGATAATTTCTGTGCAACGGACTCATAATTAATGTGAATTGATTCTGTTTCGAATAGGGTATGTCTTCGTATTTGTGGGATGCGAGTTTTTTCACGAAAATGGGCTTCAACGTTCTGATGAACAGGCTCGACTCAAAACCAATCGTTAAGCTAACGGTGAACCAAACGTTGTGGAACCTCACGGATCCTCTACTCCAAGTGGCCCGGGTAATGGCTCCCAACTTGGTGCCTGATGACAACATGGGATTCCTCCATCAGGTAAATAAAAGTGATATTGCATTTTTGCACATGTTTCCTCATCAAAATTTGAATCAGTGAGAACGGAAACACACCAACTCGAAAAAATGAATGTAATCAAGACACACACACAACTGCACAGCAGGGGAAGAAGTTAGTCCGAGTAAATGATTCGATGGACGCCATATTTTGTGTCAGAACGGCATGCGATATATCGCATCAATTGGTTCAATTTTCTCAGCTACTCGTCATTTTTCTCCAATTTTGAGATCGCAATTCTGTTGTCAGGAGACTAAAGCACTCACTTACCAATTTTAAGGAAGAAATTCAACGTAATAAAGGCGTGGTTTTTTCAGAGAGAAAATATCGCATTCGAGGGCAGTTTCGATATCAGTATCGAATGCGATATTTTCTCTCTAAAAAAAACACGCCTTTATTACGTCGAATTTCTTTGTTAAAATGGGTAAGTGAGTGCTTTAGTCTCCTGACAACAGAATTCCGATCTCAAAATTGGAGAAAAATGACGAGTAGCTGAAAAAATGGAACCAATTGATGCGATATATCGCATGCCGTTCTGACACAAAATATGGCGTCCATCGAATCACCTTAAGGACACTTTAAAGGTCCAAGTTGGACCAGGTGCGCTAATTTTAATAATATTTATGCGAATCGACCGTCTCTGATGAAACTTGAGCATTTTCGATTTACCGAGTTGCTGTATTTTCGTTCTCACTGATTCTTTACGTCTCACTCAGTAAGGAAAAGTAATTGTGTTTATATGGGAAGCACAACGACGAAGTAACACAAGCCGTTGGTTAATTTTTTGTGCTCTAGTTTTCCATGTGTCAAATCGATGGAATATTTCGGTTAAAGGGACCAAACTTTTGTGTTAAAAATCAGCGACCTCGTTGAAAACTAAGCGCCAGCCGCCAGGAACGAACCCACAACTGCATCATTGATAATCCAATACGCTAGTCACTCGCTAAGACATCCATAGCAGGGCTGTGTGACTCGCTGAGTATTGGGAAGATGACAATAGTGCATAAGTTTCGCAGGACACTTTCTTCAAGCCTCGATGCCTCGAAGTAACCTATACGAGTTGGGTCGATTTAACACCAAATTCGCCAAAAGCAACAAAGTCATTTAGCTTTATCCGGCACAAAAAAAGTACTTGACTTGAAATAACACAGAAGCAACAAACACAGAAATTTTGAACTATGCAGGAAGTTGCTGACTCTCCTCAGGAAAAAAGTGGCATATCTTCAGCTTCCGGTCAAAGTATTAAAAGTTCCATGCGACGTTTCAAAATTACCGCCGCCACACAGTGGATCGAGTCAATAGGACAGGTCGGACAAAATTTTCTTCTGAAAGCACCCCTTGAAGTTCAAAATATGACGAAATAAACATAAAAATTTGCTGTTTTAGTCAAAAATTGTATGTCCGACCTCTCAGTTTGAATCAATCCACAGTCCGTCATCTCATTTTTTTGCAGAGAAATTGTCGGTTGAATCCGTTTGAAAATTTCTCTGAATTTTAGCGGCAGTACAACGAAAATCCTGTGAAATTTTCGGACAGCGTGTTGAAGAAATTCTCTGTAAAAGAATAAAATGACAACGGAAATTTTGAAACGACGCATGACGCTTTCGATACTTTGGCCGGAAAGTGACGATACGTAGCCAATAAATATCTGTAGACCCCTGTCGAAGGTAAATGAGCCCTGGCTGCCCCACAATTTTTTCAAATTCCACGTTCCATTTATAACAAGCGGTACAAATCACATTCCAGATTTACCACAATTTCAAAGACGAGGTGACGGTTTTCATGGGCCCGGAAAACTCGCGCCGCTTTTTCACCATGGAACACTTCAACGGAAGTCCTCGACTAAACCACTGGAGGAACGAGACTTGCGATTCCGTTTATGGTGCCACCGAAGGAGTAGCTTACCACCAGTTCATCACGAAAAACGATACGCTTAGATATTTTAGGAAAACCATGTGCCGAGTCACCCCTCTCAACTATAAATGTAAGTAGAACAAAGACATCAGACAGTCAGCCCAAGATGGAAACAGTAGAAAGAGAACAAGGAAACAGCGGAAAATAGGCTAAAATACTTAAAATTATCCTGGACGTTTTGGTGTCTCACGAAACTATTATCAACCGCTAAAAACAGTGAAGTACAAAAATAAAAAAGAAATTAAAATAAAAGGAAACCAGCACGGCGTTACATGGTGATGGTATATTGTGTTTTTAGCGGTTGATAATGGTGACCAGTAACGTGGCGTATTTTGCGATAGATCCATTGAAGTGTCATTTAAACCTATGGAAAAGGATCGATAAACAGGGTATTCGCAGCGAACACCTTAATAATCGATTCTTTACCATAGGTTTAAATGGCAGAACAATCGATACATCGCAATTCACGCCGCGCCACTGATGGTGACCGAAACGTTCCGTATACTTTTATGCATTTTAGCCTTGTTTCCACTATTTCCTTGTTTTCTTTATAAATATAAGTTAAAATACCTACAACCCGAGACACCCATGGGTCCTCTTTTAGGTAATTTTAGCTGTAAAAACTTACATCTATTTTCAAGAGTTGATTCCTAGATTTCCCGTTACGTGATTCGTTTTCTTGTAGTATTTTAAAGAGGAAGGAATTTGCGTAAGAAATTTGTAAATTAACTCATGTCCTGTCCGGAGGCCGATTGGACATATCGACGGTGCAAGTCCCCAACCACGGATCTCGTTTGCGAAGTTTGAAAATCTCCGTTCAAAATTCATTTCTTTAAAGAGGAGCAAATCAACATCATTGGTTGAAATTTTTATGGAACTTTCCTCGCACAGAGAAGAAAAATCAAGGCAGTTTTACAGTTTTTAAGAATTGCCATTGAGTAGTTTTCCATGTGAAAAATAAAGTATGACAGGAAGTCTGCCACGTCGCAAACCGCACTTTGGTTGCGCACTTGCACCGTCGATATTTAAACCGATGTGATATACCTAGGCTGAGAATTTTGAAGATCGTCATATCTTCACTATGTGGTGTTTCAAACAAAACGCGCTCTTTAAAACCTTCGTAATGTAGAATATCCTGAAAGTCAGTTCTCTCAGAGGGACTTTGAAAAAAAGGAAAACGAAAGGAAGAAGTTGAAGAATAAATTTAAAGTTCATTGCAGTGCTTTTGTAAATACTTTTTTATTAACAATATTTCCAAAATTAAGGGATTTCTACTACACGGTTACGTATAGTTCGCTATTCCTGCCTCCACATTACGGCGTTTTTCCATTTTTGAATTAGCCACATTTCCCATACTACCATGCTAAGGAAAAGCGCCGTATGAACATTCGAGAGTTGCCAAATTTCCTTCGATAAAATGTTCATTTTTTCGGAAAGTTATGAATATTTTTCCTTTAAATTTTCATAATCCTTAGGTTAAATTGCGAACTAAATCATCTGAAAAATCGGGAGGAAAATATTCATAAATTTACCAGGTAATTCGCGTTTTATCAAAGGAAATTTGGCAACGCCTGAACGGCAATACGGCGTTTTTCCTTAGCACGGCAGCATGTAATTCAATGATTTCTATAGCTCACTTCAAAATGGGTTCTCGCTCTCTCGTCGGAGAGGCAACGAATCAGTCAACGGATACCGTCGTTGTTTTAAAGTTCGTGACATCATGTTTTATCAATGTAACAATATCAAAATGTTATAAAAATAACGGTAACCAATTGCAAACAGACTCTCTTCTAGTCAGCTTCTCCATTCTTTTCAGGTGATGTTGAAAAGTTAGGGATGACCGCCTATAGGTTTGAACTCCCTCCGAATATATTCAATCGCCCAGCAGATGGCGGTGAAGAATGCTTCAATCAACCACACCTACCTTACTTGCCGTCAGGAGTCTCGGATGTATCACCTTGCTACTTTGGTAAGATTTCCAACAGTTGACCAATGGCGTGGCGTGCTTTGCCATTTATCGATTGATCTGGCACTTCTAAACGATAGACTTGAGAGCGTACCGTGGTATACCATAGAGTACATAGAGTCGTAATGTAAATGGGAGAGCTGGCGCCATGTTCTGCTCGACGAATTCCGAGCCCGGTGTGCGCCGAGTTCGGGTCGCTTTTTCGATACATTTTCGATCCAAAATGGCGGTGTGGAATACGTAGTAATTCCTATCTCCGTTGTTGTTGTTGTTGTCATCGGATGGCCGGGTACCCGTGTATCGCAAACAATCGATTATGTATCGAAAAAGTGACCCGGCGTCACACAGGAGTCTCGGAATTCGGGACATGGAAAATGCTTAAAAGTGGCGCCAGCTCTCCCAATTACATTACGACTCTATGTACTCTATGGGCGATACTATGCGCCGCGCGAACAGTGCTGTACGCGCAGTGCATGAAGTATCCTGCGGTCTTGTAAGGGGCCACTATGTGTTCCGCGCCGTGCCAGCGCCGGCCGCACTGTGTTTGACTGTGATTCAAACTTGCAGTGTCAGCAGTTTTTAACGCATGATTTTAAAGTTCTTGTTCAGTTTGTTGGAATGGGCTACTGAACAAGGTCTGAAGAAAACGTCACATGTTCACTTTTCAAAAATTTTAGCGGACAGCCGATTTCGGTAAACTTTTGATATGTTGTTCTGATAGCCTATTGCAACACGCTTCCGCAAAAAAACCTTCTGTACATTGATTTTCCCAGAAAATTGCTAAAGTGACTGGACTATATAGTTAAGGATCGGTAGACAAGGTGTTAGCAGTGAACAACTTAATAATCGATTTTTTACCATAGCTTCAAATGGGAAAAAATCTATAATAGATTACCTATTCATGCCTCGCCATTGCTGTTGACGTGCATTTTCAATCATTGTAAAGAAGTCGAGACAGGGAAATAATAATCTTGTACGCGCTAATCATTGCTTAGAAAGGAATATGGTTTTTTTTTAATTACGTGACAGTTTAAAGTCTGTACTGTCTGCAGCAAAGATTTGAAGTTGCAGGATTTGAAGAGTCTAAATGATAAACCAACATCACTTAAAATGGATCGCATTTAGCATAAAAGATGCAGGACGATCATAGTATTATCAAATTGTGCATCGCAATCTTTCTTTAAGTCTATGTTAAGAATAGCAAATTAAATGTAGTTCTTCTATAAAAAAAATTGTTATTTCTAAAAGAGAGCGATTGTATACTGCTATGTTTGGTATTTTTGGAAGCAGAGAAGAATAAATCGCACGAGATTGATGACACTGCGATTGAGCTGGTTCACTGCTGCTGCTATATGCGATCAAAATATGACTTCCTAATTGATAAGCCCCGGGCTTAAACTCACTGTCTATTGGTGACGATTGAAATTAATGCAGCTAGTGTCCTCTATTATGTATTAGCAAAGTTTGCTTTTCTCTCACTCTGCATATTCCTAGGACATAAGATTGTGCGTTTTAATTTGTTTTAACTTAAACAAGTGTCATACCGGGTTCAATTTAAGTTTATTCCCACTATACTAATTCAAACGTACCCAACAACTTACTGGCATATACAGTTTCAAATAAAAATATTAAAATTCCCTTTCTATTTTAAAAATGTATAACAGCACGTTCCTTTTATATGCCGAATTACAAAGGCATCTCCAATATTCTATGTATTCATTCAATCTCATTTTTGATAAATATATATTAATGTTACTAACTGTTTATTTATTCGTTTCTCTCAATTAGACGGTCTTAAAAAATATGTGCATATTTTATTATTTTTCAGATTTTCCTCTGGCTTCATCATTCCCCCATTTCCTCAATGCTGATCCCTCCGTGAGGGACTCTGTAAAAGGGATGGAACCTAATGCAGATAAACACGGATCCTTCGTCATAGTCGAACCCGTAAGTACTACAGTAGTAATATGAAACCCGGATATTCAGACTGAAGGGAAGTTCCTTCAAATTAGTCACACGGAAAATTTTTTCATAAAATTCAAAACAAAAATATGAAGAATAGAATCCTCCAAATTCAACCTCGCCTTACAACTCAAAGCATTTTCCGATCGATTCATTCTGAAGATGAACTTTTCATAAAGGTATACTTGAATTAAAACACCCCACAACATGCTTCCTCCTCAAAATTTCACGACAAAAACGGATCTCACGAAAAAAACCCAGGAAATTGAGACAAAGACATACAAGTTAACAATTAAGGTTGGCCGAATGACAAAAATACAAATGATGTCTTTTACATAATCTAACTATCATTGCTTTGTGCTGAAATGCCTCTTAATATCTCATTCAGGGCTTGGTTTCCAAACTTCCTATTGTGTGAATCGTTTCTTAAGAGGAATTTTGAAGAGAGAGCATGTGACTTGTTTGTAGTTTAGACCTTCGCCAAAAACCGATCTATAAAAGAAAAAACTGGAATAATTGGATTGCATTTTGCAAAAAGGGACCAAGAGCATTCCAATATTGCAATAAGATGTAGCTATAAATTCAAGAAGAAAATTAATTTTGTAAACTTGGTATTTTGCATGCTTTCAGTAATCTCATTGCAAAGAATTTAAATTGCACAATCCTAGCAACATTGGAATGCTCTTGGTTCCGTTTTCAAACTGCAATCTAATTGATGATATAAAATGACCCGACGCAACACACACACACACTGAAAATGCATCAAATTCAAACTCAAATGGGAACGCTATTTGCATGAAAGAGAGATTCAACTCATCATGAATATTCGATACACTCGGAAATGAATTGCACAGGCTGCTTCGCGAGCAAAAACCGAGCGTGAAGTAGTAACGTTACGAGGCTCGACTAAAACACGTTTTACCGGGATGTTTTTTCGATCCGACCTAGACCCGAATCGGTTGCTTCAATTTTTTTTCGAAGTTTGCCCACTGCTGAATGGGGGAGTATCGATTGTCGGATTGTGCATAGAAATCTCGGAACTCAAATGGGTTTATTGAGTGTTCAAATCGTGGATATCGCATTCAAATTCAAAGTCAAAGTCTTTTTAGATTCGTTTCAGTGCAAACATACAGGAAAGCTTATAAACAAAAAACGAAAAAACGAAAATAAGACACCCACTAATGACATCTGCGGGCCGATTATTGAAATTTAGTGTTTGTCAGGAGGACATAGGTAGATGACATAGGTTAAAAGGCGGAGCGTGATTGGTCGGCTATGTGTTATCGCTGCTTTGGCGTGCCTATGTCGGGTTGAACTCACGACAAGCTATCGGTACCTCTTAAGTTTCCTACAGTATGTCGTCCATTCCCCCTGACAAAGGCACGACAAGGCAGCGATAAGAGATAGCCGACCAATCACGCTTCGCCATTTAACCCATGTCATCTATGTCCGCCCGACAAACACTAAATTTCAATGATTGGCCCGCTGGCCATTGTGCCGGGTGGAGCCTTTTTGTTTTATTTTTTTCCAGATTGTACTTTATTTCATTTTATTTTGTTTTGTTTTATCCCCCCTTTTTTTCTCTCACTTCCCCTCGCTTAAAAAATACGCATGGAGTGTTAATCAGTTTCCTGGAGAGAGGATACATGATAAACGGAAAACAAGGTATTGATTTTAACTTATATTTTAAGACTTCAGATAGAAAAGTCCTCACAGGCGGTAGTAGAAATCATCGTGACTAATGTCAATGTACTATCTTGTAATGGAAAACGTTTTACTAACATTCGAGCGTTGCCAAATTTTCCCATCGACAAGATCTTTCATTTAAGAAAGGAATTTTCAGACATCTCAGATTGGATTGTTAAAAACTGAACAATATTCAAGTAAATTTTTCAATGTTTCTTCAGAAAATTTGATTTTATATTAGCAGAAATTTAGCAACGTTTGAATGTTTACGCGGCAGATTGATTTACCGTCATCGTTGTAAAAATCTCCAAAACTCAAGTTACCGTTTGGCGTTACCCTTATTTATATGCATAATTTGATTTTAAAGCCTATACATCGATGGCCGCAGTTCGAAAGTGCGTATCTTCATTGCAGTGCTTTGAAAAGTCCGTTCCTAATTAGACAATTTGTTTGCTTTTTTGAGCTTCATTGGTAACTATTGAGTAGGGCGCAGCAACAATTTAGTTAAAAAGAAAATACTGAGTAGGATAAACGGAAGGTGGTGGGGGGAGGGGGAGACAGAGTTGAGAAATTATCTGTATAAACTGAAAAAAAAATCTTGGTGTATTTACTAAGAAAAGGGTAAAATTACCAAGAATTCAGGGTTCTATTTGATCCCAGTTTTTTCTTGGTAAAATTACCATTTATGGAATTGAACTGAAAACTACTAATTTAAAAAAATGAACTGAAAACTAATTGAAAAAATTATTGAACTTTCTCGGTTTTTTACTGGACCTTGGTAAAAACGCCAATATTTTTTATCGACTGTGGTTAAAATGGCAAAGTTACCGAGAATCGATTACCAATAAAAGTGGTATTCTTACCTGAAAAAAACAGTAAAAATGCCGGTTTTTAGGTAAGCTTCAGTCTGTCTTGGTAAAATAACCAATAATTGGTAAAAAAAGTGAGATGGTAAAGGTACCAACGGACCTTGGTAAAAACGCCGAGAATTTTTTTTCAGTGTATGCATCCCCAAAAATTTGAAAAGTTTCATTCTTGAAATTTTACTCCAATGAAATTTTCAATCTCTAAAGCCAACCTGACATCGATCCTCCAGTCTCCAACCTCACACTCTGAAAGCACTCAATGCGGATTTATGACCCATCAGGCAACATCGGATGGCTGTGAATGCTCCTTCTTGGGAGACTCGAACGCGCGGGTAGGAAGGCATTCGAATCTGATAACGCGCGGCGATTCGCAATGACACAGATCTTCGGCGCTGGCTCCTTACCGCCGCACATCGGAACGAGTAAACAAAAACTCGGACAAGACATTTCTCACTAAAACTGAAAAATTTGATGTCTTTTCCGTCGCCTTATAAATTCCAGAGGGTGCCTCAAGAAGAAAATTTTACGAGATAACCAATGCCACCATTTTCAGACCTCTACGTTCTGCACAAACGAAGATACAAGCCTCTGGACTCTCCTCATTCTGCCCGACTTATTGTAATGGCCCGGACTATTGTGCGCCGCGCCGCAGCGGACGACATTGATCACCGTGCTGCCGTGCTAAGGAAAATCGCCGTATGAGCCTTCAAGCGTTGCCAAATTTCCTCCGATTAAATACGAATTTTTAAGGAAATTGTTCGATATTTTTCTTCGATTTTTTCAGACAATTTTGTGCACAATTTAATCTAAAATATCTGAAAATTTCAAGGAAAAATATGCAAAACAAAACTCAAAAATACATGTTTTATTCGCGGAAATTTGGCAACTTTCGAATGGTCTTACGGCGTTCTTCCTTAGCGCAGCAGCGTGGTAGTGACGACTTTATGGGCTCATCCAAGGGCGGGAGGGCCAATCCGATGCAGTTGCATCCCGAGTGAATTATCGCGCTGTGGCCTGACGCAACAAGGGTGCATCCTTAGTCGAACGGAACGAATTGTGTCGACGAACGCGTGTTTTGTCATACACTGGAAAAAAAACACATTGTATCTAAGGTCCAGACTCTTGAAAACATTGACAAGAAAAAGGACTCCTGATTCAATCAGATTTAAGCTTAAATCAAGAACCAAGCCTCTTAATTTGAGCGGATTTCCTTTTGATTTAAAGCTTAAATCTGATGGAATCAAGAGTCCTTTTTCTTGTCAATGTTTTCAAGAGTCTGGACTCTAGATCCAATGTGTTTTTTTCCAGTGTAGCTGCAAAGTAAAACGGAAGAAATCTCCTCGTAAGCCTGTCCCCAACTGGACTGCATCTTACGATTGGATTGCATTTCTCAGAGAGGAACCAAGAACATTCCAATTTTGCTAAGATTGCGCTACTTTCTTCACACTGGAAAAAAAAACACATTGGATCTAGTCCAGAAGAGTCCAGACTCTTGAAAACGTAGACAAGAAAAAATATTCTTAATTCAATCGGATTTTTGCATGAATCAAAACGAAATTCGCTTAAATTAAGAGGCTTGGTTCTTGATTTAAGCTAGATTCTGATTGAATCAAGAGTACTTTTTCTTGTCGATGCTCTTAAGAGTCTGGACTCTAGATCCAATGTGTTTTTTTCCCCAGTGAATCGCTTGAAGAAAAATGAGCCAGCATGATAGCAGTGTTTTCAAAATCGTGCAACTTCTTCTTTTCTTTTAACCATATATCGATGGTGAAACTACCAAACCACGTATCTCGTTTGCGGTGTCTAAAAATCTCCGCTCTCATTTTATTTTTCTGGAGGAGAACAATTCAATATCATTCCTTGAAGTTTTTACAGAATTTTCTTCGCACTGAGAAGAAAAATCACAGACATTTTCAAGAATTGACGTTGAGTACTTTCCCATTTAAAAATTAAAGTATGGCAGGAAGTCTGCGACGTCGCAAACCGAGATACGTGGTTTGGTAGTTTCACCGTCGATATGCTAAATATATTAATGTACAGTATTAAAATTTCCAAAAAAATGTCCCACAATTTTACGGTGGGAAGCAAAAACTAAAAGTAGTTTTCGCTCTTCTGAGAGATTCTTAAGATAATTAAGAAGAAGCAACATTTTTACAACCCTGTGAAATCGCTGGTTCTTTTTTGCTGAATGCGATCCAATAAACTGACCATCTAAACAAGTTATATCCTTACTCTCAATAAACTATGAGTTCAAGACGAAAATTATCTGTGTAAATTTAAGTTTTTGCATGATTTCAGGAATTTTTTGCAAAGATTGTAAGTTGCGCAACCCTAGCCACATTGGAATGCTCTTGGTTCCTTTTTGCAATTAATCCCTAACCAATGTAAAATTAAAACGTCAATATCTTAGTTAAGGGTTGATTTCAGTTATTTTCGATGCAAGAATCGTGTTCAACGTGAAATTCTAGTTAGAAAACATGTGTCAGAATGCTTAAATTCGTACCTTGTCTAGTGGTTCATTGAAATCTGACAGATTCAACCGCGCGGAATCAGCCAAACCGTATTTTACGTGCCTAAATTTCTCTCATGTTTCATTTTTCCAATGTTATGTGGAACTGTAGAGATATTTTTCTACTGTTTTAGACGACAGGCGTGCCGATGGAGAGTCGGGCGCGGAGTCAAAGTAACTTAGTAGTGCGGCAAATAACTGGATTTCCAAGGATTGAACGATTCAGTAACATGATTATTCCCATGTTTTGGGCCGAATATGTAAGTAATTCTTCAAAAATTGCTACTAATCCTCTCATTTCTGATAAAATTACTTTTAAGACGCTCAATGGACGGGGTGAGGAAGGGGAGTTCAAATTCGTGTGTGGGAAACCATGGGAAAACCCCAGAAACCCGCGTTGGGCTACGTAGCGGCCAGGGGGCGAAGCCCCCTAGTCTTCCATTAATTTGTAATTTCATGACAAAATAATATCAAACATATATCCAACATATCGCCGGTGAAACAGCAAAAATGCGTACCTCGGTTGCAATGTTTCAAAATCTCCGCTCCTATGTTATTTTTTAAAAGAGAAGCGAACATATAGTATGCCTTGAAATTTTCACAGTACATTCTTCGCGTAAAGAAGGGAGTCGCTGGAGTTTTCAGAAAGCTACATTCAATAGTTTTCGATGTAGAAAATAAAATATGACAGGAAGTTTGCAACGCCGCAAACCGAGGTACGCATTTCTGCACTTTAGCCTGTGTTACACTTTCAAAATACTCCATCAAAATGTCGAGGTCAAGTGCTGTGATTGGTCCAAGTCATCGAATAAGCCAATCACAACACCTGACCTTGATATTTTGATGGCTGGTTTTGATAGTGTGACACAGCCTTTTTAGCATCAATATACAGGCATTCATGAGAAAAAAATGACCGCAGTCCGCACGCACAGGCTGATAATTGAAATCGATAGACAAAGCCATGGACCAAGAAGACATACGTACATAGCGATCCTATTAGTGGAAATTGGTGGTTCATATAAGGGAGAATCGGGTCACTCTTGGGTTGCCGTTGGTGAGTCTGTCTCCTACCTCCTTTGTCTATTGCAACCACCCGCTTCCACGAATAAGATCTCTTTATATCTCTTTTGTCCTCTTTATCTATAGCTTTGACTATTAATTTCAACAATCGGCCCGCAGGATGACTTTTGTAGAGTTGGGTCAAAAAATCTGTTTCTAATATCTCGATGAAAACCCCGTTTTAGTGTTCTAGAGAATAATTTGTAAGCATGTCAATTTATTTTTACGTCAAATGTTGTGAAGATTTATCATGATCACGGAATCTTGTACTCTGAACGTGACTACTTGAATCAGATGTCCCCCAATACTTAGTTTTTTGAAATTGATACTTCAAACTATTATGACTCCGGTTTCAAATGAAATGTTTGAATCTATATTATCCTAAAGTATTCGGAAAACACTTTGATGCTTTGGTATCAATAACTCAATGTTAAGTTTTTATGGCATATTCGTTTAAATTCTTCATAGACTGTCATATTTCGTCGTTTTACAGACAAAGATACATTACTCTACTCTTAAATCCTGCAATTCAATCATTCGCGAGAATGAGACTGTACAATTCCTGGTCAAAGCTCTGCTGATTTTTTCGTGTCATTTAAGGAAACCTGATTGAAATTTCATTTACAAATGAAATTTTAGGATTTAAAAATTTGTTGCGTTTTTCGTGCAAGTTTAGTCGAAAAATTTGATACCATTTTGCTAGATGGAACCAACATGTCTAGCTTATTTTAGAAACAACGCTTGTGTCATTCGTTTCCCCGTGCAGATAGGATTTTTTATGGAAGAACCAGAAAGTATGGTCCGTCGTCTCCAAATGTAGGCCGACTGGCAGACAATTTTTTGACAGAGTATACTCTGCAGCAAGTTGTGCGATAGTTAAGATTGAAGCCCGCCGTATGAATCATAATCCAAAACTTTCCTCTTTTTCAGAACCAAGTTGGGCTACCATGGTATATATCCGGCCTGATGTACTTCACCGTTATGATTCTGCCTAAGATCCAGGCGCCTGGGAGCTTTGCGATGGCACTTTTGGGTCTCATTCTTTTAGTTGTAGTAGTCCGCCGCGAGATAGCGCACCGCAAAAAGCGCACCCTTAGCTCCTACAGTTCTCTCGACCTCTTGCCTTCGACCTCTTCGCAGGAGAGTTGATGATCCCGTACAATGCTGCCATGGTAAGGAAAAACGCCGTATGAACATTCGGGAGTTACCAAATTCCCTCCAATATAATGTTTATTTTCAAGGAAAGCTATGAATATTTCTTCTTGAAATCTTCAGATGATTTAGATCTGAGCGAATAAAATTCTCTGAAAAATTGGAGGACGACCATTCACTTTCCCTGAAAATTCCTATTTTATCAAAGAGAATTTGGCAACGTCGAAAGGCTCATACGGCGTTCTTCCTTGGCACGGCAGGACGAACGACCTTATACAGTTGGGACACTTTAGTTAGTAACCCAACTCAGTTGAATTTCGGACGTCGAGAAGTTTAGTCAAAGTACCTGGAACGTTCTTCAGCTGTTAAATAAAAGATGAATTTTTGCTGTACTTTAGTAAACAACAGCTCAAATCGGACGAGTCAAAAGAATTTGCAGGCCAAAGGTAGAACCCAAAATGGATGATTGGTGTAGTTCAAAAGTAAATGAATGGCGGAGACACTTCTTATCAGAGATCCCCCACCTCTATTTTTCCTATGGTAAAAGTTACTATTGGAGGCCAACGTTAAGATTTACCCAATCATAGCAGATTACCAAATTTCCAGAAATTTGGTTGGCAATCCTAACCTAATTTGCAAAAACTCACTCAGCAAAAAGCTTATATAGGCATGTATTAGTCATCATTAGGCGAATTTTAGTTGATTTTTTGCTCAACAATTTGCTTTTCAGCCAGCGATACGCAAAAATAGTGTTATCCTTTGAAATAAAAGTTTGCCTCACTCGATTACGTTGCCTAAATTTTAGTGTGGGTTCTCTGAAATACACGAACTAAAAACTAAAAGACACCGTTTCTGATAGGCGGATTTAACCAGAAAGAGTCTACTTGCATTTCATTAGATTTCGGCTGATGTTCCATTCTTTTAAAATCAATTCAAGCTGCAGAACGTCTAAAACTTTAAAATACTGCTCTTATTAAAAACATATGTCATCGGCTAAAATGAAACAATGCGCATTTTCGATTGTAACGATACAAATCGCCGCTCGGATTATATTTTTGAAACCAAAGATCGTGTTCTCTCTGAAGTTTCTTCGCACATTAAAAAAAGATCCACGCAAAAATTCAAGGATATTTATTGTTGCGTTTTCTCTCAAAGTAGTATAGCACACTCAGAAATATACTGAAGCGTTGCAATGGGGGTTCGAATTTTTTAACTTTGGCTATCGATATGTAGCAAATTTCAGAGCAGAATGTGGCTGAGTTTATTTTTAGGAAAAAAGTGAAGAAAAATTCAGGAACGTGTCACGTTGCTCGGCAGGATCCAATTGAATCCGTCCAAACAATCGGAGCAATTGTAAAAAGCTGTGACAAACCATTGATATCCATTGATATATTACAGCCGGACCAACTCAGATAGGCAATTTGTCACACAGGATATGTCCGGCGTACACTTTTCTGTATGTCGGATTGCCTATCTCAGCTGGTCAGGCTGCGCTCCTCTGCGGAGAATGAGTAACTTGCTGATAGGCCTCTACGACGACTCCTCTTTAAAATTCTCTTTGACGACGTAGGTTTCTATCCTTAAATACTCTATAGAAATGACCAATAAGAACGGATTGACAGTGAATGGTTTCATTTGGTCCACTTATTGATACGTATGACGCTTATTGTGCCCTCAGAAGAAACCATAATACAGGAGAGAATAGCCTTTTGGTATTGCTGTTGGGATGTCAGCGAAACTTTCCGTGAACCTACAGTGACGAATTGTAAATTGTCCGTTATTTTTACACCTCACAATCCAAAATGAACCCTTTGATCATCTTATTAAGCACCAAAGCCTCAGTGAAAAAAATTTCAACATCCAAAATTCTATATCTGCATCGTATATTTGTTTAGTTCCCGATAACATCCTAATTTATTGTCTATAGTTTGTAGTAAAATAAGTAAGGACTAGCATAGCCATATGACTTGCAGTAACTTTTAGTCTGAGAAAATCCTTGAATTCGAACCTCTGTTAGTGACAAAACTGCTAACAACGTATGACTTTTGGTTTACAGATGAATGACTGATTCAATTGCTTTCTTTCATTGAGAGAGTGCAAGAGTAAACGAGAAATATCAGGAAAAGAAGAATCTTGTATGATGGTGACAAAAATGCGTAGCTCTGTTGCGGAGTTTCTAAATTTCCGCTCCTATTTTATTTTCTAAAAGGAAAGCGAACATACATTACGAGTATGCCTTGCGAAATTTTCACAGAATATTCCTTGCATTGAAAAGAAAATTCACTGGAGTTTTCAAGAAATTACGTTTAGTATAGTTTTATTTGTGGATAATAAAATATGGCAGGAAATTTGCAACGCCACAAACCAAGATACCCATTTATACGGCTTCGCCATCGATGCCATTTATTACCTTGAAAATAAATTTAACTGAAGAGCAAAGTTTTACCGTTCATGACAATATAGGAGGAAAACATATCAAGAAGTTTATCAAGATAAAGTAAGTGTCGAATTAAATACGGGAGATTTCTCCATAAAACGATATACTGTTTGATCGTAATGATGATGACTTAATAACAGAATGTGCGAAAAGTGATTTTTTTTTCAGCCACCAATACTGAAAATTCTGGTGTAGAAGATAACACCGCCGCTGACTGATTAGCTTAGTTTGCATTTATGACATAATTCTTTACTTGATTTTGTTAATGGCTCTTAAGATGGTAACATCATTAATGAGCAGTTATTGATAGTTAGGCTCCCATTATACTGGGGTATCTTACCGATTATGTCTTTTTTACTTAAAAAGTTTGCATAACTATACGAGATTTTTTTCAAAAGCTCATTTCTGAAATATTTATCATGTGGTTATACACGTGCCTGCATTTCAACTTCAGGCATCTAACCGTCGGATATTTTTATGTAATCACTTTTAGGACCATAAATTCTGTTTCAGTGAGGATAGCGCAAATTTTGTAAGCACATTGTAATAACCATATCAAACATATTAATTCTGTTAAAAGTAAAAGAGTCTACCAGAATATAAAATGACAGGCTTGGAAGACAAGGCGTATAAGTGCAGTTTTTGGTATTTCGAGAAATACATGTTTGAAGTTTCGTAATTTACACGGATTCCTATGGTGGAAAGAAAGTTCAAACTGACTTGTTGATGGCTTAAAATTAGAATTGGGGAGCGAATTTTTTTACAGAATATGCATTAAGACTATAGTTTTACTTGAAATCAATAATATCTCAAATTTTTCAAAAATCGCACTTAAGTGACTTGCCTACCAAGTTCCTCAAATATGGCATATTTTGGATTTACATCAAAGCATATACCTCTCTGTCAGTGACGCAAAGTGTTTTAACTTTGCGACTAGTCTTTCTCAACTTCGAATAAGTTTTGAAACTATTTTGTACATTCCTAGATTTAAATAATAAAATGTATCAAATTTTTATTGATCTAACAACTGTTTCTCCCTATTCCTAAACCGTATTATTTAAATTTTAAAACAATTTCCCCGCGCAGCTTATACTGGCAGTGGCGTGGCGTGTCCTGGCCTGCGTTGCCTACGTATAGCACTAGAAGCACCACTAAGACAAACAAAGCCAACACAAGATCTGCCGTGCAAAGGAAAAACGCCGTATGAACCTTCAGGCGTTGCCAAATTTCTATGTATAAAACAAAAATTTACCGGGAAACTTTTGAATATTTTTTTTTCAAGTTTTTCGGGTAATTTTGTTCAAGGTACAATCTAAAATATCTGAAAATTTCAAGGTAAGCCGTGCAAAATTTTCGTCACAAATGCATATTTTATTTGAGGAAATCTGGCAACTCTCGAATGTTCATACGGCGTCCTCCCTTAGCACGGCAGATATGGATATAGAGTAAGGGAAAGGACCGCGTTAATGACGGCGCAGAGATACAACTATTCGTGCTTGACGGATGTCCGTGTTGCGTCTGCAAAATTGAAGGCGCCTTGGCGTAGGCGTGAACTCATAACACTCCTTTCTATGCTACCAATGAGGTGTCGCCAGATTCAGGGAGAAAAAGAAAATGACGAGGTCCGAATACTGCCGTGCTAAGGAAAAACGCTGTATGAACATTCAAGAGTCGCCAAATTTTCTTCGATAAAATGTTTATTTTTGAGGAAAGCTGTGGATAAATTCCCGTGAGATTTTCAGGAACTTTAGGTGCAATCGAGAGCAAAATTATTTAAAAAATTGAAGGAGAAATATTTACAAATTTTCTCGAAACTTCGTGATTTACTAAAGGAAATTTGGCAACGCTTGAAGGTTCATATGGCACTTTTTCTTGGCACGGCAGAATAAGTCTCTACTTTCTTCGGCGTTACAGACACTCGATTTTTTTCAATTTGATATCGACGGTGTAAGTAGGCAATCACATAACTCGTTTGCGGTGTCTGAAAATCTCCGCCTCTATGTTATTTTTTTAAAGGAGAACAAATTGACATCATTCCATGAAGTTTTTGCAGAATTTTCTTCGCACCGAGAAGAAAAATCACGGCAGTTTTAAAGAATTGCCGTTTAGTAGTTTTCCGTTTAAAAAATGAAGTATGTCAGGAAGTCTGCGACGTCGCAAACCGAGTTATGCGATTGCCGATTTACACCGTCGATATTTGATTTTTAACGATGTGTTTGTAGCCGTATATCTGAAGCGCGTATGCACTGGCCCTTTACAACTCCCGAGCCGCGTACTTATAGGAAGCCTCGCACAGTGGAATGAGTTAATAGAAGAGGTCGGACATGAAATTTTTTACTAAAACTGTAAATTTTGATGTTTATTCGTCACATTTTAAATTTCAAGGAGTGCTTCTAGAGGGAATTTTCACGAGAAACTCAACGGAACCACTTTTGGAACCCTAAAGTTTGTATAGACGGAGTTACAAGCGTTTGAAGTTTCCAAATTTTGTCCGACCTACCCAATTGACTCGATCCACCGTGTCTCGGGTCAGTTTGACCCGGCATGTAAGGGTTACAGCAGCTGTCAAAACTCGGATAGTTAAGCCTGCTCTGGTGAAATAGTCTTGAGTCCCATTTTTATGACTGATGAAAGTTTAAGTCATAGAT